AAGTAATCGCTTGTAAATGGTGTTTTATCTGAATTGCGGCACAATCGTCCAGCTGCCTGAAATGGCAGGACTGGCAGCCTAGCCTTTCTACCAGTGGAGCCGAGTCTGAAATGCCACAGTTCGATGTCTTCTTAAAAAGGAAAACGGAAGCCTGCGGGAGAGAACACCAGCCTACTGCGTAAAGGGTTTGACTTCCTTTTGTTGAATTGCAGCCAAACACTAAACACAAACAAACAAAAGAGCATCCCTGTAGGTTAAAGCACTGTTGCCGAAAATAAAGTGATTCTGTTAAGTCGACAAAACCATCATAATTCTTCGGAAAACTGGAGGCAACAGAGGCTGTGGGACTGAGATCACAAACAGCTTCTGCCCCGTGAAGGCACGGGGCGCATGGCAGGCAGCGCAGCCTCGCCCAACCCGGCGCTGTCCAGATGCCAGCCCGGCCCGGGACCGCCATGTGCGGCCGGTGGATGCTGCGCGTCGCGGGGCAAGGCACCTGGAAGGCGCCAGACCGCTCCGAGGCGTCCCGCGTCTCTCTCTCCCATTCGCCGGAAACGGCGCTGGGGAAGGGCAGCTTCCAGCGAGCCGCGGGGAGGGGGGCGTGCGTCGTGCCAGCGCAGCCGCTGAAGCCTGGCGCACCCCCGGCGCACCGTCCACACGTGGCCCGATGCGAGGGCGAGCGCCTCCCGCAGCCAGACAAAGAGCGAGGGCGCGAGCCCCGCGCGGCTCTCCAGGAGCGGCGGGGCAGGGCAGGGCGCGCGGCGCCCCCCCCAGCGCGCTCCCGAGCCGAGCCGGCACGGCGCCGCCCCTTCCAAGAGGGCTGCGGGCGCGGGGGCGCGCCTGCCGGCCGACGTCACGGAGGCGGGGCTGCGGCTGCCGGAGCCTGACCCGCCCGCCGCCGAGCCAGCCGAGCAGCGCGCATGTCCAGCCCGGGGGCCTTTGAACTCCCCACCAGCAACTTCCTGCTGCAGTTTTTTTTTAAGGGTGCACAGTGCAATGCAGTACATGGCTGTCAGCTCTGCGGCACAAAGGAACAGCCATTTTGCGACAGTCCGGACGTGCGAGCCTGGGGCTCGCCGCTGGGGCTCTCCCCCGCCCAGCGCGCTCCTCTGCTCCAAATAAGCCCCTGCCGAGCGCACCGCAGCGCAGGAGACGCGAGAGGGTCTCGCCGCCTGCTCCTCTCCCCCGTCCCCTGTATTGTCTCCAGCGAAAATCCTCCTGCACGCCAGTGTGGCTACATAAAATGGCTGCCACGAAGCGAATGGTGCTTGTTACGCGACGCCTGCAACGTGCAACTCCACACGTAGCCACTTAATGAGAAAGCACTCGGAAAAAGCCCCAGCTTGCAAGCATGAGCAGACCCCGCTCCCTCCCCGCCGGAGAAAACGCTGCTTCTAACGCTAAGCTCTTTGTCTAGCCCTTCAGGCTTTGCTGCAGGAAGAGAGAGATGGGCAGGCAGAACTGTGTCGTGTTCCGAAGAGCACAAAGGCAACCTCACGCAGCCACTCGCCCCGTGAAAAAGCGCCACGCTGCACGGCATCCTCACGCAGCCATTTGCTGCACCAGTGCCCCGATCCTGTACAGTTTATCCAGAACACGTTCCACTGATTACAGTCGGAGCTCCTTCCACGTAAAAGCCTATCCCAGCCATGCTTATGGAGAAGCAAGTCCCACTGAGTTCAAAACAATGTCTGAGTATCCCTCTTTTTAAGACTGGGCTGAAAACACAAGTGGAATGGCAGTCCTGGGTTACTTCTTGGGCATCACAACTCTCCACCCCTGCAGTTTACAGGAATATAAAAGCTCTTGAAGATGCCCCAACCACCTGAAACAGGAGGCATATACATATTTAATATATGTATTATATACATAATACAGAAAATATGTATTTATTTAAGATGCAAAAGTGCATGTTGTGAGAGCTTTTTGGTGGTAGCACCCAGTTCTAGAACTCCCATGCCAGAAAGAATCTCTTGGCAGCCTTCCTGCTGGCTTTTACTCAGCAGGTGCAATCTTTGCATTTCAAAGAGCTTTTCATTAACATAGCAAGCCTCAGTTTGTTTACTTGCATGTCCAGCTGAGTTCAACGGAACTTACCCCTTCATAGCAAGCACAATTGGATCTCTGAACTTTCAGCTCTTGTTTTTTAACATTGTGTGTGTTACCTTTTTTTACAAAAATTATTTTGTAAACTATTCAGAGCACTTTGCTATGGAGTGGTACAGAATTTAAGGAATTAACTGGGGAGGTGTTTAAGAAATCTTACAGTTTCACTGAAGACCTGGTGCAAAACACCAATTAGGTTGTGTTTAGAAAAAGATGAACCACAGTGTACATTCCATCTTTATCATAACATGTTTGCTGCACAATAACAAACAGCTCTTTCATGGTCATGGGTAGATATTGGGGGTAAGGTTGCCCAACCAGGTGCCCTTCAGATGTAATTCCCATAACTGCTCACCAAGGCCATGCTGGTCAAATCCACTTGGGGCTCAGAAACAGCTTAGCCCAAAACATCAGAAGAGCATCCAATAGGAGAAATCTGGTCTGGATTTAGGATATATTAGGCTGCAGGTGAATTAAGACATTTACAACTATGAAAAGCTTTCATGGTTAAAAAAAAAACAAGGAAACATGTGACTTCTGTAACATGCAACAATTTGGGTAATGCTAAGTTGTATCTGAGTAGGAACAGGAAGCATTCTCCAGGAAGTCAGTGTTTGGGGGATTTTAGCCCCTCTGGTATATCAATACTGAAGGAAGGGAGAACAAATGAAAGGGCGAATCCTTTCCTAAAGATGTGGAGCAAAAGTTAATGCAACACTTCCCGGAAGAACAGGATGTGCTTTTCAAACATTTCCCAGAAGGAGCCTGTATTCTCTGCACAATGGATTCTTATACTCTCAACCACAGGCCACACTTGAGGAGAAAAAACTTGGGATAGTCTTTTTGGGATGAGCAGTAGAAGAAAGGATTTTTTCTACTAGCCATCCTATAAGGTATAGAAGCATCAATCACACACATCTGTTATGTAGATCTTGTCCCAGCAGCACACACACACACACACACACTTCCAATCAAAAGATGACTTGATGTCATGGGTGGATTACGTGGTCCCACACCCCCAAGTCTCATTCAGAAAGGAAGTTCCAAGTGTGATATGCACACACAAGTTTCAGTCAGCCTTCCTAAGTGTAATGTCCCCAGACACGCCTCGGAAATCTTACCCAAAGATGGAAGGGAACTTTTCACACTAAAACAACTTTTGCTGCTCAGAAAAGCAAGCCTCAAAAAAAGAAAAAAATACACAGCATGTAGATGTACTTTCCCAGAGTACATGTGGATTGCGCATTGCCAATAGTAAATATAAAGATATATAAATATGGTCTGATGAAAAGGAGTATTTTTAATGTAGGTTTTAAAGTACTGCTTGATGCTGAACATACTTTTGTTACCAAGAAAGCAAAAGTGCATCTGTGGAGCTTATGCAAATAATATACCCAAGGGGCAAAAATGTTAGAGGGCTCAACTTATCTTACTCCTCAATCACTCAGCTGCAGAGTTTATTAGCTTGGTCTTCTTCACACTGCCAAAACCCTTTGTTCCATGTATCACACTGATTAAAAAACACATTGCATTTATTTCTGTCATCAGAAAGCATTCGCTTTTTCAGTTTCAGTTTTCACCAAGTCAGTAATTTCAGCCTTTAGAATTGCATTTTCAGAGTAGTGTATAACCGAAAATTTAGCTATTTAAATGAGATCCAAGCTTTCATATATCTTTGTGTGGAAACTAAATAGATTTTTCCATCATCAGAAACTGCAGTTAAATCAGTTCAAATTTCCAATTAAATTATGCCCACTTCCACTGAAATATTTTGAATCTCTCACCCTTGAAATTTCTTAAAAACATTTAACATACTTTAGGAAACACTCTTACACCTCCAAGGATTTTTCCTATAGGCTATACATTCAAATCCAAGCATACGTAATGGAGTAAAATCTGGGCATCATACGGTATCAGTCATACAATTGTAACAAGGAACAGGTCTGAATACATGAGTTTGAATATTATAAATATTCAAAAGCTGAAAAAATTAACAACAAAAATGTAAGTAATATGTTGTTGAAAACTGTATTAGATTCCTCAGGGGCTCCCTTTTCATTTTCTATAGCATTAAAGTGAAAAGAGTCACAAACAAATTAAAAATCATATATTGTTTTATTTTGCTTGCCACCCATTATCCTCCAAAGGAAGGATACATAAATCCCAAAACAAAGTGCATATCGAGTTAAAAACAATAGCAAAGATGCCAAGAGAGCCCATTCAGTATCTTAGTTATTTCTCTTTTAATCATGGAAGCAAAAGCAATGAGAGTGAAAGCATGGTTAAAGTGTATCAAAATATCTTAAAATACCTAAACAGTACCACATATCTATAAAAACAAATTGAATATCAAAGCAAGGGGTGTCAACCGAGCACACACTTTCTGTTTTTTATTTTAAAATCTATGCTTTTTCATTCATAGAACTTTCTGTAGTTTTATTTACAATACCATCAGGCTTCTCTCTGGCCTTCAGGTGAAGTTTAGACTTCATAAATTCTCCAAAGGAAAAAAAAAATCCCTTGTATGTAAAATGGTGCAATGCACCAACAGCTACACAAGGCAAGGTCATTTTTCACAGCACAAAACCCCTCAAAACCACAAAATTTACCCACTGAAACTTGCATAATATACAAGAAAGGGTGGCATCTGTACAAAGGTGCTTTACCTTTTAACTATGGCATGCGGCCTTTAAGGCACGCCACAACTTCCAGAAAATTGCTACCAAAAAAATTAGGGTGTGGCATATTAGCAATCTCAAGGTCATTCCTTATGAGAAGAATCAAAAGCATTAAAATAGGTATTTTGCTTCTGTATCAAGAGTAAGGCAGGACTGTCAAAAGGTAAGCAGTGTGATCAGGTTAATAAAAAAATAATAAAAGTTGATAGAGCATACCTCGATGCATTGCTGTGGACAGAACCCTCCTCTCCTTGGCTTTTGTCCGTATTTCTCATCATCTTTTAATTCTTAAATATTAAGGTAAAGGTAGAGGGATGGCTGGTTTGCTTTGAAGTCCTGTGCCCGGGTATTTACTGTCAAAAGTTGAAAGAGAGATAAGGTCCCAGTTTAAGCCTTTGGCTTTCAACACTAAGAACAAAAAGTCCTGACGCTGCAATGATATTTGTTACAATAATGCAGAAGGCTCATCAGCACGGGAAAAACGGAGAATATTTACACTTTCTTTAAAAAAAAAAACCACACACACACACCAGGGTACACAGCCCTGGGGAGCATGCTACAAAGTTTCCTGAAGTAACCCTGGAAGCAAAGTATTCTCGGTATTTTATTGCGTCATTCCAGGGTCGTTCAAATCGGTTGAACGAAATAAATCCAAAGTATTCCAAAAAGGTGGAAAAAACCCTCGAAATGATAGTTAATCATCGCCCACCTACCTGATCCAGGCACCCGCGCCAGGTCCAGCCCGATCTTAGTTTCAGGTCGTGGGAAAACATGAGCTCCAAAATCTTTCAAAGGCAAGCCCAACGGAGAAAAGGCCGTTTTTCTTTCGAGAAAATTTCATAAATACGCGTTTAATCCCAACCGATCTGCATTCGTTTAATCGCCGGAGGCGACCATGAGAGCCAAAAAGAAAGAAGAAGATCCGGAGGAGACGCTCATTAGGACAGCGCACAAAAATGGAGGTACACCATGGCTTCCAAGCTGGGAAAAACAACGACCTGGGCTGCCTCCACGGCTGCTTCTTTCCAACCAGGCGAGGAAAAAGAGCCCCCAAAAGCTGCCTTTCTGCCCGAAAAACGCTCGATCCCCTCCACGCCAGCCCTCGCGGGAGGCCAGGGGCCGCCAGAGCCCCCTGAGGATGCCCAAAAGTTGGGCAAAGTTACGCAAAAGTGGCGGAGGGGGGAAAAAAGGCAGGGAGACTCAGCGCGCTCTCCAAGGCACAGCCGCCATCTAGAGCTTTCTTCCCAGCTCTGAGCTCAGCCTTTGATTGACACTCTCTACATTTACCCCACAACTCAGGTGATGTACCATAGACCCACCCCTTCATTTCCACCCAAAAAAAGAGAGGGAGCCTCCATCTGAAGGGAGCTCACCCCCCATCACTAGCATCTCCAACCAACTCCCATCTGGAGAGGGGGCAAACTTAACCCCATCTGGTTCAGGCACCCTTTCCAAGCCAAGGGAGAGATTATTGGTTGCTTTTGTAGGAGAGGATTGGCTTAGAATTCTGTCCTTGGGCTAAAATTACTTCCTCCCTGGACAGGAAGTTGTGGTATAGTAAGCCATTTTGAAGGAGTTTAAGAGGGACTTGTGCACACTGGGGTACAATCTGTAGTCTACAGGGCTTGGCAAGGACCCCCAAAGGGTAGCTTTGGAAGAAATGAGGTACTCCAAAATTTATGCTGGGCAATGTGAGATAAATGACTGTAAGCCATCCTCCTTAGAAAAGTAATCCCAATGGAGATTTAAAAAGATGGTGAATTAACCTCTCCAACTCAATGGCGCCTCCCTAGTGGTTCTGTCGGGAAGGAGCAAAACGGTATCGCTCACATTTCAACTCAACATCATTAGTTGAATGCTGGAAAATAATACTAGACCAATTAATTTTCTTGCAGGCCATTTCTTTAAAGGATCTGTATTTTAGCCACACTCCAGTCCCAAAAGTCTTCTGCACATCATTGATCAAGGATTAACAAAACCATCTGCAAATTCTAAGATGAAGGTAACAGCACAGTTCCTTGTCCATTAACCACCTTCACACTCATCCAAGTATTGGATATGTACCATACCATGACTTTTGACAATTTGTCAAGAGCCATGGCCTACAACCACATAGCAGAAGGTCCCAACAAGTTCAGGTTCCAGCACAAAAATCAATAAGCAGTTGTCATTTCCCCCATATCGTTTCAGTCCATAGTCCTTACTACATTTTTGAAGTGACCAATTTGAGGATTTGGCTTGAGAATCCTACAGTGGTGGCAAGATATTCTTGCAAATAGGCCCTTTGTCTCCCAACTCATTAATGCATTTGGGCAAATGTTAGTTGCACTACAGATAGGAGTATCTCAACCTGAATTAAATATCCAAAGAATGCTACTAGCCTGAATCTCAGATGTGATGTCTGCTAAGCATCACCATTTAAGCAAACTATACTGGGTCAGGATACACATTAAGAAAGGAGAAATGGGCAATCTTTGCAACATTTCAAAACCATGATCATTATTAGCACTATCAATAAAAGTCACCATTCAAAGTTATGTCATTTTTCATCTATTTTGCCCTCAGATCTTCAACCCCAAAGGTATGCATCAATTATGATTATTTGGTTGCAGGAACAATAGGTCATTAGTAATGCAATACAATCAAGGTTAGCTTTAATGGTGTTATGTAGGCAATCAGAAGTGGGTTCAACCCAATATGTTCAACCAACTAGCGTTCATAACATGGACAATACAGTAGGACCATAATGACATCTGTATAAACATTGATACATTTAAAACTACCGGGAGGAAGTCAAGCATTAAAGGTGTTCAGAAAAAGACCACCAGTTTTTAGGTATGTGTAGATCCAACCCTAGGTTTCTCACAGAAGTCTCCAGGCCACACAGTGTGTGGTCACTGAGCACACCACTAAATCTGTACCATTCAAAGAGTTGTATTGATTTGCATTCTTTTGCAGATGTCCAACATCATTTAACCTAGATCAACCAGATATATAACTAAATCAGGCATTAGAGGATTCAAGCTTTTGCAACTGAACAGAAAACACAGCAAGTAAAATCCCAACCAAGAATATAACCCTACTGAGAACTTAAGGCAACTAAAGAGCCATTGAGAACCAGTACTTGAAGCATCATTTTGCAGAATTTTAAATTCCCTCAGTAAAATAAAGCATTTCTCATCAAAACTACCACTACCAGTGGCAGAAGAAATTGAATACATTAAGACTTGTTCAGCCTGAAAGACGACAAACAAGAATAAAAATGTAAAAAAAACACTTTTATTTAACTTTTAAAATAGCATTGCACTTCTGTCATATAAAATGGGCACAAACATATGTATACATCCTGGTTTGGAAATTTAGCCAATCCATTCCATCCCTCCACTTCCAAATGAGTTCTTGTACGAGATACTGGAATTATTTAATAAAAAAAAACATTGATCACACAGTCATTAGCCCAAATCTTCTCTGGTTTAGAAAACACCGTAGTCCATGCTAAAGTGTCCCTGTCTTGGATGGACATAATCAGCAATCATGCATTAGTTCATTTCCTCAACCTCTCAATCAGTAGAACTGCCATCTTGATTTGGAACTCGTGGTCTCCCTTTCAGATTCTTCCTTTGTCTGGTCTCTTTATAAAAAAATTAAAAGAAAAATGCTGTTGGAATACAGGTAATTTTATCCTTAAATTAAGCAACCAACATTCAACTGTCATATGTGGACACATTTTCAACATATGTTTAAAAAGACTAAAACACTGTAAAAACTGGTAATGTTAGTAATTCAGTTTCTATCCATTGCTTTTCAGGATTACTACTGGGAAGGGGAATGTATGCCTCTATTGAATACAAAAATTGACATTTGAACCACTAGCTCACTGGTAAGAAATGGAAGATGATAGCTCTTGACACAAGTTTTCTGACCACATTTCACTATTAAAATCATGTAAAGATATAATAGTTCCATTTCCAAGTCCTTTAAATATCTATTAAAAACCATTCTTTTTTGTGTGAAATTTTAATTGATTTCATACTGTTTTGTGGTATAGCAGGAGAATCTTTCCCTTCCAAAAACTCTTGTGAGTTTAGGGGGACTCCAAAGCTAATGAACTGTAAGTTATATATGCAGCAAAAGGGGAAATCACAAAATGTGACAAATGGTCTGGACAAATACATGCAACAAAATGGAGGTTTCAAAGCGTGACAAAATATACATGGAACAGCAAGCAGAACAGTACAAGGAGTATATTGTCCTGCTCCTAAAGTCTTATGGATCCAATTAAAAGCTGAGGAAAGGTGGTGACCATGCAAATATACCAGAAGATATAACTGGTTATATACAAAGCTTAAGCTATGACTACACAAGAATGCCTGAGAGAAAAACAGGTTCCCATATTTTATTTGGATCAGCAATTGTCAGCAATACTGACTATTTACATAAGCAATTACTGGGGTAACAAGTGCTCCTCTCCCATTTACTTCTCTTGAAGTATGCCTCAACACTTGAAATGCACTTTTATTCAGGGTGAATTCTATGTGGATAGCCAATCACAAACAACTGGTTAAGATGGCTTTGCTGTGCTTTCATCTTTGCCTGCCCAGTTGCCAACTGTACCTATCTATTCCAAAGGGTGTGACCCACAGTCCCAAGGGGCAACGTATAATGCAGCAACTCCCAGCATGCTGTCACTGTGGGCCATGTAACAATAATTTGAGTCTTTCAGATTTGCCAATCCAGGAGAAGGTCTGGAATGCACTCAGGCACCATCTTGAAATTCCAAATTCAAGGCAACTTCAAACCTAAGCTAATTTAGTGAAGAAGCTGGCACATAATGTTCTTCTCACAAAGAGTTTATCAAAACATATTTATCAACTTCACAAATATGTAGGGATAATTAGTCCATGGAAGGTCAAGGAGTTTCTTACTTCCAGTTTAACATGCAAATCCAGCTGCAATTTAGGATACAACATGGAAACATTCAAGGTTAACAAGTGAAGAACTCAACAGTGAAAGTGGCTAAGACTAGAACTGAAGAATTCCAACTGACTGTTCAGCTGAGAATGTACTGTTTTGAGAGAGGGTTTCAGCTCTGGATTGACCACACAAAAACCATTTTATTTAGGTACATCTACCATCACATGGTGCTACAGAAGCCAAAGGATTAACTAAGCAAGGTCACAGCCACAGTTGTTATGGTGCACCACAAGAAATTTTGGTAAGGCTATTCCAGAAGTAGTTTATGAGAAATTTGGAGCTACTGTCTTCAAGATGTGGGTTTGGAACCCAAGTTCTCCTGGAGCACGAAAATTAGCCAAATGTAAATCCAGCCAAGTCATCCTCAAGCATTTAGTTAGGGCAAAATTAAAGGAACCATTTGGTGCTCAAAGAGAAGGGAAGGGCATATGCAGACTTGAAAAGGCTACCAAAAGGCTTTTGAAGTTGAACATTTGTTTGAAAGCCATCCATTTGGTTATTCTAAAGACTAAGCAACATATTCAAGGGTTCTGGCAAAAACAAAACAAACCCAACCCATAACACAAAAACCACCAAGGTTAAGCTTATATTGATACATCTACTAACACTCTTTATATTACTTACAGCCCTATCTATACTGGAATTTACTCTGATCTTTTCCCTGTGCATGATGCATCACAGGAGTAAACTCCATTCTGCTGCCTTCAATCAAGAGCATACTTGTATCAGGAATGGATGGAACAATATTAGAAGCCCACTCTAACGACCTGGATTTTAAAATTTAAGACTGACATCCACAGTCTACATTCTATGATATTCACTACAGAGATACAGGACATATATATTGCATCAAGCATACAATTTGACTAAAATTTAGAGCAAAAGGATGTGGCAAATATGTTGACATCTTCACATAAGTATTACAACTCCTAAATGCTTAAAGTATCCCATTTCAGTCTGGTGCACAGTTATAATATTGCACGTAGGCTGAGGTTGAAATCCCCACTCAGTTAATGTACTAAACAAGGTTATTGTGAAGATGTGGAGTGAGAGCATAAACCACCTTGAGCAGAGGAGGAAGAACAAGATAAAAATGTACGAATTCTTCCAAAGATAAAATGCTTCCGATCAAAGGCCACAAGTTTGGTTCTAAAGATTACATACTGGGCAGAATATTTCCTTAAGTAGCAATCTATATTTGAACAAAAGATTCCCAGTTCTCAAAACTGCTGTCATTAATTTATGATTGCAGTCCTTTGCATACTTAACCTTGAGTAACTAGGCAGGAATAACTTATGAGTAAACATGCACAGGATTCCACTATGTCTTTTATTATCATCATACTAACCAGTTAGTTCATGTTTGCTATTTTGTTTATTGGATTTATAAGCCACACCCAATAGTCTCTCACAGGACTCTTTCGGCTGTGTTATTATTATTCTTAATTCATTTGCAAGTTAGAGGGTAAAGTCAGGTTCACATGGAAAAATACTCCACACATAGCAACAAAATGTTTAGTTAAACAGCGAGCAAACTGATTTAGATATCATTAGACAGTTTTTCAATCATTTTAAACTGGTATCAGACATGTCAACTTTCTTCTGAGGTAATCAGAAGTATTGTTTTGTTCTATTTCAGTCCAATGCTTAACACTTCAAAGAAAAGTTTGAATCCTGTCAAACATTAACTTCAGAATCCAAATTCTATATTGCTCCTTTTTTAAAGTACCATGCAACAGGAATACCTGAAAACATACATATTGAAAAATCATTCCATTCTGGATTAGACAATGTAGCTGAGTTTACCATACAACCTATTTCTTGTTAAGTCAACAAGATTAAGGTAAAAAATGTACTTTGTTGTTATGGCCTTAAATTGTGTATATGTAAACTGGTGCTGTACATAAAGAAATATGGTATTACTTAAGATAGTATCGAAGAAGTAGGTCAATAGAGTATTTTGAAGCTTAAGACTCAAGCCTCTGATTAAAATCTCAGCCCAACAATGTAAGCTGAAAGCAGTCTTAGGCTGCCATGATATGTCCTATACCTGGTTGTGTAGCTTACTGAGCTAATGTCTGCAAGTCACTTTGGGCATTTGCGTGACTTATAAAACAAGGCATCATTTTGAATTGCTCAGCTACATTTGGTGCAGCCACACCTGGAATACTGTGCACAGTTCTGCTCACGGCACCTAAAAAGGGATATTATAGAACTGGAAAAAATGTAGAAGGGAGAAACCAAAATAAACAGAGCTGGAGCAATTTCTCTATGATGAAACTGTACAAGAACTGGTATTTAGCCAAGAAAAAGGGCATCAGAAAAGTGCACCAAACTATACTCTAAGTAGACAAAGTAGATAGGGAGTTACTTTTCTCCCTCTTTTACAATACTAGAACCTGAGCTTATCCCATGAAGCTGAATGATGGGAGATTCAGGACAGATCACAGGGAACCATTTTTTCACATAGCACCTAATTAAACAATGAGATTTGCTATGACAAGATGGAGTAATGGCCAGCAACCTGGGTAGCTTTGAAAGGGTATGAAATGGTATTAATGGCAGATCAGATCATCAGTTACTATGATGATGACAATGCATTTATATCCCACCTTTTTCCCTCTTATGAGGAACCCAAGGCAGCAGACACGGCTCAATTTCATCCTCACAACAACCCTGTAAGGTAGGTTAGGCTGAAAATGAATGATTGGCCCAAAGTAACCCAGTGAGCTTCAGGGCCAAGTGGGGACTAGAACCTGGATCTTCCAGGCTCCAGTCCAACACTCTCACCATCACACTACACTGGCTCTCAGCTGCTATTAGTCATGACAACTGTGTACTAGCTATCGGAGGTTGCGTGTCTATGCATGCCAGCTGCTGAAGAAGGCAGGCGGAAAGGGGCTTCTGCACACATGACTGACTTGCAGGTTTCCCACAGGCAGTTGGGTGGCCGCCATGTGAACAGCAGGCGGGACTAGAGGGTCCTGCATCTGATCCAGCATGGCGCCTTGTGTTCTTACGTTTCATTTCTAACGCTAAAAAATACTGGTATTTTCAATTGCTTCAATTATGATTAAACTTGTGAAGTTGGCAGCTATTTGAAAGATGGCATTAGGAACTCTACTAAGGATTTTACATTTAATAGTTGGAAGATATTTTTTTTAAAAAGCAAGATTTCTCTATGAAAAGTTTGAGTGCTACAAAAGAACTGAAAATACAAAGCACCAAATTCAGCATAAATAAAACATACCTGAACCAATCATCATGTTCTCTTCAAGCTCTATATGAATCTTTCCAGAAATCAGAGCCTGATGCAAACCTTTAAGAAAACATAAGTGTCAAACAAGGGGCATTCAACATAGACAAGAAACAGCTGCAGCGATGAGCACATTCAACACCAGAATAGCAACTAGTTCAGCATGATACTACTGATACTACTAACAAGAATCCTTTCAGAATCAAAGCTATTTCACATTTGCTCAAGCTACACAAACCCAAGAAATTGGAAAGTATGGATGATGCCTTCATTGACGTGTCCTGTGAAGGTCCATGATGTGGTGCTACGTCACAAATGGCTCCTACTTACAATTTACCTTCTATGCACTCAACTCTTTGAATTTTCAGGCCCCAATTTAGATAGGAAAGATGCCTTGGCCCAGCAAAGAAGCTTCACACTGTTCTGGTCCCATATTGCCCTAGGAAGCACCTGAGCCTTATATTAAGAAACCTGCCTGTGAGTTGGCACAAGCCAGTCTGTTCCTGATGTCAGAAACGGGCAGGGTGAGTTAAACAGGGAGCAAACGCTTTGAACAGTAACACTAGATGCTTCATAAGGCATTACAAGACCACGACAATGGAGCATCTTTGCTGTTCCAGGCACTCTGCCTTCCCATCTGGCTTGGGACCTGAAAAGTATGGGTGCACAGGAAAATTAACTGCAAGTAAGCACAAATTTCTGATACTGCACACTGCCATTACTGATCACAGAGTACATCAATTAAGGCATCAGCCTCAGCTTCCAATTCCTTGAGTTTTTATCGCCTAAAGCCTACACGAAATAGCCTTTAATCTAATATTGGCTTTAATCTAATATTTAATCTAATCTATCATTAAATTTTACTGGATTTTGAAAAGTTTGTAAATACAGTGCTGGCAATTCTATTGTCTCAACATACCCAAACCTGCTTCCTTGGAAGTTTACCAATTGCTTGGTAATCATAACATTTCAAGAAGCAGGATTATAAAATCTAAGGAATTTCCACATATAAAGGAGTTGCGCTATGCAAATAGCTGTCGTCCATGTGAAGAACCAATGATCAGGACAAGGCAGAGGGGTCAAGTTAGCAAGCTCATCTTCACTTCCCTTCCTTGGGTATATGACTTATACACAATGAGTATAACCCAGGACTAGATTCTCAATACTATCTGGATGAGTATACACAAACTGCGAGCATAGATTCACTGTAACATGTAAATGCTATCCTAGCATGAGACATTATCTTTGCATGTCCTTTTCTCACCACAGAAAAAGCAGGAATTGGGACACTTCTGCATTTGCTGTCAATTCCTTGATTCTTCTGCTACCACTACCTGCTCACTCCAACCACACCCATCCTGAGTTTTCAGTGTGTCCTACTGCATGTTACTTTAAAGATAAAGCAATGTTTGTTTGGAGCATTGTTTTACTCAAAAGCAAGCTCACAGCACTAAGTATAGAGCCAAACCCTCATCAGACAGCAGCTGATTTTAACTTTTTGCCTGATCCTTGACATTGTCATTACAAGTACTTGCTTTTGGGCAATGTAAACTCGAGCTAGAGTAGAACTACAGCAACAATGAGAACACTGTCTCCCTACCACAATGTTACAGTTCTAACTCAGGGAATAACATGTAGTCTGACCTTGTGAGGTCACATTCCATAACTAAAAGTACAGGCATTATATGTATGTAAGTGAACTGTTTTTCTCAAGACATTGAAGACTGAAAGCAGTCTACCTTCAGAGAAAAACTGAGAATGCCCAACCTAACTCAACCAGCATTGGCTGTTATGGCCTTTCATCAGATAAAAGAGATTAACCTTTGAACCACTACCCTGAATGTCAACAAACCAATAAAGGGTGCACTCCCTGGACAAGTCCAGACAGCATACATCAGTATTTTTCACCAGTATGTGAAAGAAATGTATGACAGGCTTTGAGTCAAAGTACAAATGTGTCAATTTCCAGCACCCTTGCAAAATGGTAGATCTCATGAATGCCAAGTATGAAGTAATCAAAACACAGCTGTCATTTTTTAAGCAGTAGAATGTTGAGGCTTATATTGGCAGAAGCTTTTCTGAGACTCACCTAAGAGTAACTATTTTTTAATTACAGATAGATCTTCTCAAAAATTGTATGTGGGGCACTTATTAGACTGCAACACTATTTTTATAGTGTTCATTCATCTAGCCTTCTCGGAACCTACAACTGGTATTTAGAGTTCCCCATCTATTTCTTCTCAGTATTAAGATTCCTTAGGTCTCCCATCCCACTGATATATGCAAAATCACTTTCTGAATTTGCAACCTGATCCAAAACCTATTTATCTGGAAATAAAGCCCACTTACTGATGGCTGACTTTCTTAAACACATTTGATTGCCGTCTTAAGATTGTAACCCCAAGCCACTTAAGAGATATATTTGAAGACTTCTTCAAAGTAGGTACTTTAATAAAATATTTAGTTAAAAGGGAAACTTAAAAAACCACACTCCATTTACAGTTTTAACAGGATTTGGTGTTTTACTATTTAGTCTAAGGAAAATTATACATAATGGACAACTATGCTCAGAAACTGAAAAGCAGCTGTTCAAACAAGTTTGAAGCCATTCTATCTTTAACTAAAAATCAGTTAGGCACCAATTTAAATATAATCAAATTGCAATCAGTTTGAACAGAATTTTGTCTTTTACTCTTATTAGGTAACAATATACACAATGCACAAGCAGGCTTAAAACTGTAAAACAGTCAAACAAGTTCAAACTCATTCTTACCTTAAAAAAGCATTCTGCACAGCCCTTGAAAGCCACTACATATGGAAGTGGTAAACATTTGCAGAATACCTGAACAAAGAAAAATGTATTTAGATTTATTTTAAAGGTTTTTCATAATTTACAGAGACTCTACAGTTGTAGCAAACTATTTAAAAACATTGTTCAACAGATACTGAAAGCATAATAGTTTTGTTCATTGCAGCTTATTTTCACCAGCTCCCAAGGAAAAAAACATGTCTGAGGTATAATTATGCATGTTTCTCTCAAAATCAATGTGTGAGCTAGTTAAATCAGAAGGCAAAATCAAATATGGTTTAGCCTTCATATTTATTCTCAAGATCATTCCTGCTATCTGAAGAAAACACTTTTCTAAAATTTCTACGCTCTACATGAAGGCACAAATCACACCATTTTAACTGAAATGCCATCAATTATTCTTCAGTGTCTGGTTCTGAGACTTTGAAGGTTTCACCTTCACCACTCCCCTGAAGTAAATGAATTCTACTACCTCCATATTTACACCTGATTTCTGTCCTATTTTCTTGCATTGCTGTAAAAAATCTTTATGTAACTTGGTCACCGTTAACTTTATTCCCAACAGCACCACCAAGTACTACAAATTGCCAGTAATTAAAAACACACACACACAATTTTAAATCCATAGGCATAGTTTTAAGGGACCACCGGCTACTACTGAATACCAATTCTTAAAAAAACAAAAAAACAAACACATAAGATATAAGGTGGAATTTGCCACAACACATCTCTTGATTCCCTAACTGAAACCAGTAAGCACCCAATAGTTTTTTAAAAATTTGCAAACATGCTAAAATATTGCAAATAAATGCTCCATGCTACAATGTTTTCCCTGGTAAACGCCTTATTTCAGTCAAGGTTTAACACATCCTAAATGTTACCACCATGGTAAACAAAAAAATCTAGAAAATTGACAAACTGGCAAGCACATAAGTTGAACAAAGTAACACTGCAGTTCTTCCAAACACTAATGTCAAATTTTAAAGTATAACTTCCAAAGAGAAGGCATTTGAAGACTTCATGCATCCAAAGAAAATAATGGCTAAATATTCTGTTTACGCTTTTACTATAAAAGGAAAGGGATTTTATAACTAACTCCAGTAATAAAATGACAGAAAATTCAAGCTTATGAAAGATCTGGATAATGACACTTAAAGAAAAATGCCTTTTGCAATTTTACACAGCGAATTTATTATATTTATTGCTCTGCATTCCTTTTTACTAAACCACGCTTTCCACGGATCACAGATTCCAATTTTAACATTGAAGTTTACTCAGCTATACATTTGACACCAGCAAAAGATTCCTGCATTTAAGTGAGATCATTTTAATCATCGCAAGCACAAAACATAAAAACAATTTTTACGTATCCTATGAACCAAGAAAATTAACAGCCTTTTCTGAAGCCTGTTAGCAATTCTTAGTTTAAAGAGAGTTAAAAGGCAACACCCCACCTATGAAAAACAAGTTTTAAATTTGAGAGATAGAGACAGACATGGCGTCTTTTGTTCCTACAAAAATAGATGAGTTGTTTCTTTTTTTTATTTTCAGCAGCAAGGGAGATCTATCACCCTTTAAAGTATTTACGAGTTTGTGGTAGAAATATACGGAGTCATAATGCACCTTTCACTTCCCTCCCACAAATATTTTTGGAGGGGTGTTGTCTCAATTTGCTGCAGCCCCCCATCTTGTCAAGCCCCACACAAATGCTGCATCAGAGTAACAAATTGTCCTCAAAGATACCTACCATTGGCAACCTCTTTAAGCAAATAATTTACAGGAACCCCCATAGATACTTTTCAGTCTGCATTGGAGTGAAGTTTATAAGGCTTTTGTGCTGGGGGAAATGCAACCCCCCCCCCCCCTTTCTGCTGCAGAAAACGGGGGGGGGGGTGGATAAAGAAGGGTGAAGAGAACTCTGCAGCTCCAATGGCGGCTTTGCTTTGACACCAACCTTTTATTTCAGGTTCTGCACCGAAGCCCAGGATTCCTTCCCTGGAACCCCTCCCCGAATTGAAGAACTACTCCAATTTGAGAAAAAAGGGTATTTTAACGGGCACTTCAACTACCGCAGACAGAAAGCACAGACAGACGAAAAAGAGCAGAGACTTTCCCAGCCTTGATTTTCTGGTTCTGCTCCCACCCCAGAAGCCCCTCCTTGGTACCCCCATTTGATTTAGGCACGGGCACTCAAACGGGGAGCTTGGAAACTTCCCAAGCGAGGCAGGTAAAGTGAGGGAGGAATAGGAAACTTCTCCTCGTCTCCTGTCCAGAATCAACCCCCGTTCTGATCCGACACCCCCAATTCCAGCTGGACAACCACCCCGAAATAGGGAACGGGGTACGGGTCCCTTCCCACGTTCACCAAGCAAAGCCCAGGTCGAGGCGGCTGCTGGAGGGCTTCCTTCTCTTCGCCGACCTCGGGATCCACTCCCGCGTCGGCAAGCCCCCAAGGCGGGCACCCCCCTTCGAGCCGCGGGGGACCCCCTGGAAACGGAGGACACGAGCCTGGGGTCCTCTCCTGGGGCGAAAAGAGCCGTGCAGATCGTCCTTCTCCAGCCGGAGCCCGTCTCCCCACCCGCCTCTCCCGGGCGGCTTCAAGGACATATTGTTTTCCTTCTCAAGGACAAAGAGACAATGGCGGCCGAGGGCGGAGGGAACATGGAGGGCGAGGGACGGGAGATACTCACCATCCTCAGCGGAGAGGCGAGGGGAGCGGCTCAGGCACGCCGAGCGGGGGCCGCCACGCCGGCGCTTCCCGCGGCCGCCCCTGCAAGGCAGCCGCGCGGCGAGCCGAGCCAGCCCGGCCGCCGCCTCAGCTGCCTCTTGGGGGTTCCATCGCCGTCGATCCGCCCCGCGCCTCCGTGCGAGGCGGGACGGACCTCCCCACCCCTCGCGAGCCGGGGTGGGCCCCGGCCGGAGCCCCCCGAGCCGCGGGCCGTCGCGGGCCAGGGAAGGGCGAGGGCAGCGCAGCGCCCGCGGAAGGAGGGCAGCGGCAGCAGCCGACCGCAGCTGCTGCCTCCCCGGCCATCTTGCGCCGTGTGTGTGTGAGGGAAGGGAAGCCCGTGCCCGTCTTCACCGTCTCTCAGCGAAGCCTTCCTCTCCTCCCCTCCCCCATCCGCGCCCCTACCCAGCGCCACAAAATGGCCGCCTGGCTCCCTCGGCCACTGCTGCGGCAGGCGGGGGAGGGGAGCGAAGCGGAGCGGAGGGGGCGGGCCGGGGGCGGTGCCCCAGCCCCGCACCCCTCGCGCTCTCCGACTGCGCATGCGCGAGGCGCCGCGCCTCGATTGGCTGCCCGCTTTCTCCGGAAAGCTATTGGCGGCAGCCCGGCTTTCGCCCGACGCGCGGCTGCGGACGGTGATTGGTTCGTTCCCTCCACCACCCCCCGCTTCCTCTCCCCTCCCCCTCCCCCCGCCGTCTTGTAGTCTTGCCCTCCAACGGCCGCTTGCAGGTTCAAAAACAGAACCAGACCCTGAAAACAAGCGAGCCAACTGCATAGAGCGCGATGACGCGAATCCTCGCCCGCCCCCTCCCCTGCCCGCGGATGTCGCGGCTTCTGATTGGCTGGGGTAGGGTTACTCGCGGTCCCTCTTCCCGCTTTGCCTCGCCCCCCCCCCGCCGAGGATGAAACGGGCGGGAGAGGGGATGCTGCGCGCGCCCCAGGAGGCGCGGCCCCGCGAGAGCCGCGCGACCCCGTTGGGGGTTCGCGGTCGTGATAAAAGCAGAACAAAACAAGGCAGCAAACACGCATTCGTCGGAATGCCCTTTCCCAACGCGGGTTCTCGTCCCGCTCGGCCGTGGGGGGCGCTGGGCCCGCTGCAGACCCTCTTAGCACGGCCTACCGCGCAGGGGTGTTGTGGGGAGCCGATTGCGAGCCAAAGAGGAGAAGGCTGTAAGCCGCCTGCAGTTCGTGGTAGGAAAAGCGAATCAAAAACCCGCATCGGTTATTGAATGTATTCCAGGCAGGTCACGCAATTCATTCCCTCCTCACAACAACCCTGCGAGGTAGGCTGGGCCGAGCCTGCAACTGGCCAGCAGCACTTGCGGGGCGACATAGCCTAGCGGGCACTCGAACCCAGCGCTACCGGAGTTCTCATCGCGGCCTAACCACTACCCCAAACTGCTTCTCCGCTGCATGGCCTACCCGGGGCAGCCCCTTTGACAGCGCCCTGGCACCAGGTCCCAATGGCCCTCTGCGTGGTTCAAGGGGATTGCCCACCCAGGCTGCTTCCCCTTTATGGGGTTTTCCTACACTGCAGGGTTTGAGCAGCTTTTAATTCTTCAGGTTTCTTTTCTGGTAAATTGTCATGCGGCTTTTTCGGTATCGTTTTGATGTTTGTGGTAAATGGCCCAGAGAGCTTCAGCGACTAGGCTATATAGAAATGAAATAAGATACTTAATAAAAGAATGCACACCCTACTGCACATCGAGCTTGCAGAAAAGGATTAAAACGAGCCTTAGGGTGCAATCCCATGCATGTTTAGGTGATAAGAGTATTGTAGGATCTTTTTCTGTCTGAGCAAGCATCAGCTGGCACTCTAAAGCCTTCTGCTGGAAGAGTTTGTGTGCGCATATATTTGCCCTTTTAGTTGATACTAACCAAGATGACTTTGGATAGGTTTTTAAAAGATTCATAGCACTAATTATCAGATCCTATCTGACTAATGGAGCTGGATATAAATCTAATAAATTTACATATAAATCTAATAAATGCATGTTTGTTATATACTCCTGTGCATCTCTATATAGCGAGATATACTGCTGTTATATTTTACTTGATCTACTTTTTCCCTCTAAGGTGTGGTTTGGTTTAGTAATAGACAATAAAAACAAATAAATGGTGCTCACCCCTTAATGGATCATGCATAGACACTTACGTTTTGTTGCATGTTGGTTCAGGGGGATATTTTAATAAATAATTTAAATCTATAAAACATTTGCAGTTTCACAGGTGCAAAGTATTTTTCACCTCTTCAACTTGGGATTTACTTGTTAATAAGCATACTTGCTGAGCATCACTGCAGCTGGCAAAATTTTCCCTGCAGAGAAAAGAGGACATGAAGATGCTTTCTACGTCAGAAATGTTGTTAGAATCCTAGCAATGTTTTTAAACAATGGAGGAGAAAGATACAGGGCAAAAAATAAAATGGCAAACTTCCCACCACCTCAACCCATCCCTCTTAACATAATAAGGTTCAAGGCAACCTTAAGACTTCTAAGGAATTGTTAAACAGTCCATAATGACTGGCTGCCAAGAAATTGGCACAAAGGTGATGGCAAACAGACAATAAGAAATGCAAAAAAAGAGAAAGAAAAAGGATTTGAGCAGTAAATGCTAACAACTTCAAGGTCAACCATAAATCATTCTTTAATAGTCCAATGCTGTGCATGAGAGAAACAAGGGCCTGATTGCCAGCATGCCCAGCCAGGAGTTAGAGGGGAGTTTTTTCATAGGATAGTGGAAATGTAAGAACCAGTTGGGCAGACAGCTAAATCACTGCACATCAAAGGAGTTAAAGGGATGCTGAAGATGAGGAGATTGTAAGAAGCTGCCTTCACTGCAGAGGATACAAAGCAGATGTTAGCCCCTGGGCTGAAGTTTTCAGAAGGGGAGTCTGAGGAACAGGGCAAAAGTTGGTGTCCTCAGCCAAACTCAATTTGGAGTGGAAGGTAGCATATAAATGCAGGAATGAATGAATGAATGAACTGAAAGTTAGTGAATCACCAGGTCCAGATGACATCCACCCTAGAGCTCTTCAAGAAGTCCAATGTGAAAGTGCTAATCTTTTCATTAAAGGATGCAACATGTCCTTCAGTTGATGGGCCAGTAGATTGGAGAATGGCCAGTGTTTAAAAAGGAATCCAGGAAAATGAAGGCCCATTAACTGGTAAATTATTTGTTATTAAGGAGAACATTGTTGTTGTTAGTCACGAAGTCATGTCCGACCCATTGTGACCCCATGGACAACATTCCTCCAGGCCTTCCTGTCCTCCACCATCCCCTGGAGTCCACTTGAGCTCATGCTGAGCCAACTGCTTCAGTGACTCCATCTAGCCACCTCATTCTCTGCCTTCCCCTTCTCCTCTTGCCATCTATTGTTCCCAGCATCAGGCTCTTCTCCAGGGAGTCCTTCCTTCTCATTAGGTGGCCAAAGTATTTGAGTTTCATCTTCAGGATCTGGCCTTCTAAAGAGCAGTCAGGGTTGACCTCCTCTTGGACTGACCGGTTTGATCACCTTGTGGTCCAAGGGACTCGCAGGAGTCTCCTCCAGCACCACAATTTGAAGGCCTAAATTCTCTGGCGCTCAGCCTTCCTTATGGTCCAGCTTTCACAGCCATACATTGCAACTGGGAAAACTATAGCCTTGACTATACGCACTTTTGTTGACAGGGTGATGTCTCTGCTTTTTAGTATGCTGTCTAGATTTGCCATAGCTTTCCTCCCCAGGAGCAAGCGTCTTTTAAATTCTAGGCTGCAGTTCCCGTCTGCAGTGATCTTGGAGCCCAGGAACATAAACATAGAAACAGAGTGAGTCAGAAGGGGCCTCCCATGCACCATGTGGACGTCCAGCCTGTCCTTGAACACCCGCCCCGATGGAGCCTCAACCACCTCCCGTGGAAGCCCATTCCACACCCTCGGGGTCCTGACTGTCAGGAAGTGCTTCCTGGCACCCAAATTGAACCTTGGCTCCCTGAGCTTTGCTCCGTTGGAGCACATCCTGCCTTCCTCTGCAGGGGAGAACAGGTCTCTACCCATCTCTGTGTGACATCCCCTCACATACCTGTATGTCGCCAACATATTCCCTCTGAGTCTCCTCCAAGCTGAAGAGACCCAGTTCCCTCGGTCTCACCTCATACCCCATCCCCTGCAAATCTGTCACTACCTCCATTTCTTCCCCATCTATTTGCCAGGAAATGTGAGGACCGGATGCCATGATCTTAGTTTTCTTAATGTTGAAGTTTCAAGCCAATTTTTGCACTCTCCTCCTTCACCCACATCAAGAGGCTCTTCAGTTCCTCTTCACATTCTGCCATGAGAGTGGCATCATCTGCATATCTGAGGTTGTTGATATTTTCCCCAGCAATCTTAATTCCAACTGGCGATTCATCTGGGCCCGCCTTTCTCATGATGTGCTCTGCATATAAGTTAAATAGGCAGGGCGACAGTATACAGCCTTGCCGAACTCCTTTCTTAGTTTTGAACCAATCAGTGGTTCCGTGTCCAGTTCTCACTGTTGCTTCTTGACCTGCATATAGGTTTCTCAAGGGACAAATAAGATGGTCTGGTACTCCCATCTCTTTAAGAACTTGCCACAGTTTGTTGTGATCCACACAATCAAAGGCTTTAGCATAGTCAATGAAGCAGAAGTAGATGTTTTTCTGGAACTCCCTAGCTTTCTCCATGATCCAGCGTATGTTGGCAATTTGATCTCTAGTTCCTCTGCCTCTTTGAAATCCTGCCTGTACTTCTGGTAGTTCTCGGTCCACATACTGCTGGAGCTTGTAGGATTCTGAGCATAACTTGGCTAGCATGTGAAATGAGTGCAATGGTGCGGTAGTTTGAACATTCTTTGGCATTGCCCTTCTTTGGGATCGAAATGTAAACTGACCTTTTCCAATCCTGTGGCCACTGTTGAGTTTTCCAAATTTGCTGGCATATCGAGTGTAGTACTTTTACTGCCAAGATCCTACTTATCTTATAATTCTGTGGTGCATTTAGAATACTGTTTGCAGTTCTGATAACTGTGCCTAATATCATATCGTACACTTAGGAAAAATGTATAAAAGTGCAAGGACCAACCTACAAGGAAAAGTTACAAAATCTAGGATTGTTTAGCCTAGGAAAACAAAACCAAAAAAGCAACCAAGGGAGATGGGTTAGAAATGCACAAAATTATACATGATGCAGAGAAAGGAGTTAGGCTGATGTTTTTCTTTCTTAACCCTCATATTCAAAAGTTCTTCTTGTTTAAGCCGGCTTGATGAAGAGGGCACAAATGAGTAAAAGATGTAAAGTAAGCCCTTCAAGTGCTCAATAAAATAGAGGAAAGGGAGTTTAGTGTTTCCTAAAGTCAGAGTGGTTGTTGCTTAAAATAAAACATGACCTCAGCTGCGCAATCCAGAACTTGGGAGGGATACTGGATT